GTCGTTCCGAAACATTTTTGTTATTCCACTTATATGCCCATCTGGATATAAGCCCATCCCCACCCCCGCCCCCAGTTTATAAGCCCACCCAAAAGTTATATAAGGCCAGGGTTTTAATGTGGGATTTTATGGTGGTCAAAACAGTGTACAAACAAGTAAACATTCCAAAAGTGCAGTTCAATAACAGTAATATCAATCAATGTGTCCAAGTTGTCTGTTGTAATGAGAATATTAGTTTGGGGATACATGAAGTGTCCACCATTCTGTCACAGCCGAAGTCCATAGTAGCAGGAGTAGTTTCCATAAACACTGTAGGAGACCCCATTAGCAAGGGGGGTGGGCTTAGTATCCACATCCGGTTAATTTTTGGCCAAAATATCCTGTATCCCATTAATTCCAGTAGCAAAAATTAATGACTTTCCTACCGATTTTCCTACGCGATATCCCATTTCATCTGATCTACATATCCCGTTAATTTTTCCCGAAACGTCCTTATCCTGTTAATTTTTTAATTTTTCTTTGTAGTTTTGGCCGGAGATGTAGCTCGTGTTCATAATAGCGGGGTCTCCGCAAGGCGAGAGCTGACTGTACATTCAAATGTACCGAAATGTAGCACTCTTCATATACATGTCTGAGCTGAATTGCATGGAACTAGTATAAGGCCGAGGTCAACAATAACAGTTCTGTGTATCAACTTCAGTTCGATTGTCTTCGTCATAAAGTAATCGACTGCCCGAAATTTCTTTGGTTTTACGGAGCTCAATCCATCTAACGTTCGAATGAATGAAGTTTTATTGTGGATCTGTTCAATTTCGTTCGATGGACAATACCGAATTGACTGCAGGTCCCGAAATATGTCAATCCACCGATATTATTGTCCTTAAAATTCACTAAAACAAGTGCAACAAGCTTCAGACTTACTATTCAGTTTCTTCTCCTTCAGCTTGTTCATCAACCTCTTCTGAAGTCATGCCAGAAGTCGAAAGGCCTGTATCGAGAGACGGAAACAGAGCTGACGAACCTATGTCTTCCGAGCTGGCGGGAGAAGGCGAAAACATATTCAGCGCAGTAGGAGATATCATCGTAGCGGGTGACAGAGCTTTGACATCGGTATTCGTGTAAGACCATACGCTGCACTGACTCGACAATGATGATGACTGATAAACAACTGTTCAGGCCGCCATGTTTTGTGAAGGCAAGGCGTGGTTACAGAGGGATGCTGTCACAAAACGTAGAGGGGTAAACTGGGAACTAGTGCCAGTCCCTAAACTTTTTCCGCTGCACTCTCTCTTCTCCCGCCCGGGTTCAATCCCTATATATTGCGCGGGGAAAAAAGAGTTTATTGACTGGTCAAACAAGAACCGAATACCTTCTTGAAACCCCTCATCAAACCTGGAAAATCAAATGGTTCACCCCTTGGGCATCCACTGTGCCCTTTCAAGATTGCAGTCACTTTCTTAAAATCGGTAATACCGTAAGTTCGATTAAAATCTTTAGCCATTAACCTTTTTCATACATGTTTTGAATCATCATTCTTCTTTCTGAGCTACGCTGCATCTTATCTTGATTAACTCGGTTTTTCTTAAAAGCATAATCACAGCCAAAAACCCACGACAAGAGCCGCGTCTTTTGCGAAGTTGAAACACCTTACACTTTCTATTATTTTAAAGCCCTGTAGTAGGTTTTGTAAACCCATGCGAAGCATTGTCAACTGTGTTTGTTTCTTTTTTATGCATGTATAATTTTTATGTATTATTTCTTCTCAGCTCCAGTTGTCCTTAGCTGGCTTTATTTATTATGACTACGGTACCTCGTTGCCGTCATCAGCAACTTAACTTAACGTGCAAGGAGATATATGAAAACCCCGGCAGATGGATTCCTTTTCAGTCACATGCGAAGCTGAACTTTTCACAGTTACGCGTGGGCCTCGTCGCATATACATGCGTAGAATTCGAAAACGTTTTTATTTTGTTATTTTGTATTTTGCCTCCACCGCTCCCCTTCAGACTTTCCGCTCCATTACCCTCGTAGTATTAAATTTAAATCATCTTTGCATTTGGTTCCAGTTCAAGAGAGACTGAGTATTCCAATTGCTACAGAATCAAACTGCACCATAATGAACCCAACCACAAACCACAGCGATCGAGACTCATAACAGAAAAGCTGTTTAACACTTCAGTTAACGTTGCAATCAGTTGCAAAGTGTAAGTCAAAGAAAGCCACATGACGCAACTGAATTCCGCTGATAACAAAAGCCAAAAACAAAAGACAGTCTTCTTAATATTTAAATATATGCATAGCTAAAACACTTTGTGGCTAATAACATACTTCGCCGAAAAGTTTGCTGGAAGAAACAAAACATTTAGCTGTCCAAAAGATGAAGAATATTTCAGGGCTGGCGGTTCAGTTACTGTTAATTCTTGCAGCCTTCTTTTCCAGTGTAGCTGCCAAAACCGAAGCAGGTAAGATGATGCTTTGCGTCGAGCACGAAGTGGACAACTTTCGCATGGTATTTGTTGTACTTCAATCGTGTTTGTTTACAGTCACGATATTCTAGTGTTTCATGTTTTCTCCTAAAATGAAAACTACATATTTCAGTTCAAGTCGGCCTTCGACTTTTGATATCTTCGGTATGTTGTTTTTTCTTTTTTTTTTTTCATACTGATGTTGACTACACTTCATGAGCGAAGTCATGTT